TTTTGGAAGAATTTGGTCTTTTGTATTTTTGTGTTTACTTTAAAAATACCTTTATTTTTTAACATGTTTCTTGTATGCTGCTCAAAAATGCATCCCAACGAAACAGACGCGTATGCCATGCAAATCTAACTTTTTTGTACTAAATAGAATAATATTTATTTGAAATTGTTCCAATAAAGTAATTTTTGGCCTTTGTTTTTGGTTGGCAATGATAAAAAACAGAAGAACAAACAATGAATTCATATCTTTGATCCTCGTCAGTGACACGAACCAAAATTCATACACCAAGGTCAAAACCTTGTTGTGACAAAGTATGAATCGAGTGTCTTCAGTTTGGCTGTAAAACGTTTTTTATGATTTTTTTTTGGTTTTGCGATTTTTGATGCTTTTGAAAATGTATTTTATATATTTTTGGTTATTTTACACTTATTTTCTTTAAGATTTTTTTTAAAGTCGGAACAAACAAAAGTGTCTTTACGTCTTATCTTTTTGTATTATAGAAAAAATAGTAAAACCCAATTTTTAAATTATTGTATTTTTCAAAGTTTACAAAAAAATCTATTTATTTTCCCTTGTTATTTTTTGAGATCAATTGCATATTGAAATTTGAATACACCTCAAAGTATGTGATTGATTTTTTTTTCTTTGTTATTTTATGATGCAATTGATTTTGAATATTCCGGACCAGTATGTTTTAAGTTGCAGTTATCTCTTTGTTATATTTTATATTATTTTTATTATTGTAATAGGTTGTAGACATCTCAATAATTATTTGATTCGACTTTTCCATTGAACTGTGACTTGTTTCAGAAAAGATCAAGCAAAAAATGAACCTTTGTTCATCCCCACTTCAACAAAAGGTTCCCTTTTTTTTACTATAATTTATAATTTTTACTATAAAATTTTACTAACTCAGTCGTCCCAGGAAAGTTGGAGTAATTAAAGAAATAAAAGTCTCATTTACTTAAAAAATAACTAAGATTACACAAAATCTATTATTTTTGGGTTTTAGAGTTTTCAGAGGGTCAATTACTATGTTATTTTTTAACTTCAAAAATTAACAAGTTAACTTAAACCGGTTTTTGTATATTACCATATGTTTTAATTGTGACAATTTTGTTTTGTAAATAAGAAATAAAAATCGGATTTTTTGTCTTCAAAAAACCTTCCGAATCATAAATAAGCTCAAAAAAGATATTCTTTGATAAATAATTTTTATTTAACCCTTCCAGTATACCTTTAGGAGTCAATTTTTACAGCCCGAAATAGAACAAAATTTAAAAAAAATATAATTAGCGCAGTTCCGATTAGGACATGTTTCCCGATTTTGGTTTTAAATTTTATGTAATTTTTGTTTCTTGAATAACAAAAGAACGCTCTAGAATTGCCACGTCATAACATTTTAAGGATAAATTGCGAGTGAAAAAAAACAGACCAATCAGATTCAATCTAGTCTATAGATAGTAACTATTATCAAAATTATAAAATCTGTCTTTGAAACCATTAAAACATTAAGTTTTTTTATAATTATTTTATTAAAAATTTTTGGCATTAATATTATTCATTATAATTAAAGTTATTATTCCATAAATTTTTAAAGTCTGATTTCAAATTAACGATATTCCAAAAATACAACAAGGATATTTACAATATCAGTTTTTTTATATTATAATATATAGTATCGACCATCGCTAATTAACTCGCTGACGTACCTAATCCCCAACAAACCAATACTGTTAAAAAGAGCAATGTTTTTGTTTTTTTTTGAAAAAAATTATATTATACAGTATAGTTCAATTGTAGTAAAATGAAAATGGAATAACGAGTTCAAATTTTGAACTAATAAACAAATAAATTGTGAAAAAAAAATGAAAAAAATATAAATTTTTATGACAAAAACGTAAAAAATGGCAAAATAATAATACTAGTAAATGCAATAACATTTATTTCAAAACAAATAAATATGTTTTTTATACATTAAACAATAAAAAACAATTGGTTTTGAGTTGAAATGAAATACAAATTGCAAAAGTAACATCAATACATCAGTGATAATTAAAAAAACAGACAAAATTTTTGTACACACAATAGTCTTTATAAAAAATACAAACTTTTCAAAAAACCCATTTTATTAACTGTGTATTTTTCAGACAGTACAATGTAGCAAGATTTTTGACTGTTTTTTCTGTTTATAATATATTTTTATCATCTTTTGGTATTTACCATACTGTGACCAATCTTTTGAAGAGTGTTTATCAAAAGAAATTAAAATATAACAAGCAATCATTAAAAACAGTTTTTAGTGTCAAATATATTATTGTTTTTATAACAATTACCCTTCATTACATATAATCCACATATTTTTTTTATATTGTTGTCTGACTTTTTGTCTAATACATGGACTGTTTAACCAATTGTTTGTTAACGACTTTTGACAAGTTGATGTATACAGTTACTTATTTTAATAATCTATTGAAAAGAGTGTTTAAAATGAATAAGGTAAACCATAACTATGTTTATAATTTTTCAAACAACAAAAAATCAAACTTCTTTGTTTATCAATGCTTTTTTATTGTTTTATTTGGTGTATATTTTTAATTTTTGTTGTTTTTTACATTATGAGTAATTTATCTTTTTATTGTCAATTAAATTTTTTAATTATTATTATTATTAAATTATTATTATTCTTTATATTCGGGTTGCTTAATAATCAATTGCAAAAACATCACTGTCTGTAAAAGCGATGTATAATGAATTCGTTTTATCGTTATTATATTTTACAACTATTTCGACTCTATCATTTTCACTATAACACAGAAGCGTGTTACTTATTGTTAATATCAACTACTGTTATCAATGTGGGTCATTCAGTGAACACAATTAATTATGTTTTTTCTTGTTACCATTATTATAATTTATTTGTTTTGTCAAACACAAAATAGCAATTTTCACATTAGTTATGTGTGCTTTTTATCATCATTTTTAGATTTTATGAATACTTTTCTCAGAGTTGGCATATAATAGTCTATCTCGATAAGATTAACTATATTTTATTATAAATAACCATTTTTATTAATTATTGTTTGTATTTTTATATTTTTATAATTTATATAACTTCGAGTAGGACACAAAATCAATTTAGATATTGAAACATTTTTTTGAAATTAAATACAGAAATTGAATATTTAAAAACTATAAGTTATTACCATAATCAATCTCAGTTGATTTTACACAATGACACTTCACATAGAGATTGATTCAACTCATGGCTGGATTGAATGAGTGACATTTTTAAACATTTGCTGCGTTTTGGGGGTTTCTTTAATATATTTAAAAGTCCAAATTTGTTGTTATAAATAAATTGTTTCAAATTGCTACATTCAAGTTTTTTATTGTTGAATTGTGTTGTACTTATTAAATAATAAATCAAATGATTAATTTGATAACTTTCATATTTGCTTTCTTTTAAACTTACTAAATCATCATTTTCAATTTTAAAAACAAACATCAAGTGGTCGCAATTGACTGTTTATGGGGTAATACAACCACAACAACAAAACTATATTACGTATCCGAAACGTCATATTTATTAACATAAGTATCAAAAATTCAACAATTGTTTGAGTTTACAAGTATTTTTAATTATTTTTTGTTTTTAATTAATGTTTTAGAAATGATACAAAAAAAATGTTTTTTCAACTTGTAACAATAAAAATTATATTTTACTATAATTTGCTAAAGCCGACTTTTTCCACCAACTCTTTATTATTTTGGTTGTAATTTTTGTTCTGTTTTGCTTTCAAATTTTTATAAAAAAAATAAATGCACAAAACGATTATTGGTATAAAAAATAAATATAATATTATTATGATAATTTTATATTATTTGTTTTTATCTATTTTTTCAGGAAAATCACCTAATAATATATCAAAATTATTTAAACAGTTTTGGGACAAAATTTTTAAAAACTGCTAAAAAGAGCAGTATTGGGTTGTTGGCGAGTTAAAAACCATAAATACATAGTAAATTTTTTATTAATTTTTACCATTTGACATTCTCAAAGAAACGCTGGTTGTCAATCGTTTTCTTTGCTTTTCAAATCAATTGTTATGACCTATTAATCGCCTTATAACTATGACACTCATTTGGTTACCTATCGTAAGTGGTGTGCTAACTTTTTTGACATTACTCGAGAATTCGTCAGAGAGGAATTACAAACTCCACATTTCTTGCTTTCCTTTTTTGGATGTATAATATGGTTAAAAAGTAAACAATTTTAAAAATAAAACAAAAAAATAATTATTTCAAAAAAAAGAAAAAAGCTATTGATTATAATTAAAAAAAACTAAATGTATAGTTAATTTTCTCCATCGTTAATTAAAAATCCGACTTTAGTGATCTAACAACAAAATAGACTAGATGCTTTTAAACAATAGATAACTTGAACAAATAGGTAAAAAAAATCGTGTTAAAAACAAAATGACAGTGCAATAACACTCGTTTTAATATTATAAAAACATATTATAATTATTATAATAATTATATTTTAATGATATAAATAATTGAAATTTTATATATCATTAACATATGTTATTAAATTATCGTAACATATATTTAAACGATATCAATTATTGAATGATACTTTTTACGTATATCACCACACATAAATTACTATTTGATCAATGCCATCAACGATATAATCAATCAATTACAAAACTTATAACGAAAACACAAATTAAATATCATATTTGAATAAAATGATTATCAACACGATCAATTGTTATATTAAAAATGACTTTCACATTATAACTATAAAACACTTTTCCAATAGATTGATAAATTTAAGTTAAAAAAACAACTTGTTAAACAAATAATAAAATATATTTAATTTTATAATTTTGATAATAGTTACTATCTATAGACTAGATTGAATCTGATTGGTCTGTTTTTTTTCACTCGCAATTTATCCTTAAAATGTTATGACGTGGCAATTCTAGAGCGTTCTTTTGTTATTCAAGAAACAAAAATTACATAAAATTTAAAACCAAAATCGGGAAACATGTCCTAATCGGAACTGCGCTAATTATATTTTTTTTAAATTTTGTTCTATTTCGGGCTGTAAAAATTGACTCCCAAAGGTATACCAAAAATTTCCAAAAAATGTAAACTTATTTATATCTTATTCATTTTGAGTGTATATTAGAAAAAAATAATGCAAAAAACGCTTTAAATCTTTTACAACCATGGTGAATACCAGGAAACAAAATTAATAGTAAAAAATAATTTAATTTACTACAAATTAATAGTAAATTTAAACCTAAAATCGTATTTTTGTTGAAAAAATGTTCATTTTTCCTGTGAGGAAAACTTGACGACTTTTCCTGTAATTATTTTCAAGTTTAATTTTTTTTCTTTTTATATCGAAAAATTGTATATAATATTTTATACTATACATTATAAGTCTTTCTAAAAACAGGGTTTTAAAATAAGAAAACGTATCAAATAAAATTCTGATAAAAATTCTTTTATTGAAAAACAAGGGATAAGTCATACTTTGAAAATTCCAAAAGTAATTATTTAAATTTAGTTTTCATTGTAAATGATTTGATGTTTTGTAAATAACGTGTAAAAATGTTGATATTTTATTAATTTCTGATTTTTATAACAAACAATCAAATATTATGATATTAGTTGTGCAACCACACTGATGGTTAGCGTTTTCACTTTCTAACCTTTTGTTGATAATCATATGTATACGAGATATAATTACGAAATTTTTCTTTTAACTATCGTTTTAAAATAATCGTTTTCATTACACAAAATAAACCAAATGTATAAAAACAACATCGCTACCTTTTTAACGTTTTTAAAGAAAGAACCTTTATATTCATTACTATAAATTATTATAAAATATATTTTATAACTAATATGTATAACACAACTGTGTTAGACTTTTAATTTATATAAAGTCGACCAGAAAATTGTCGTACACCAGAAAATACTCGTACACTTCCTAAAATAGAATTTATTTTTTTAAAAAAATAATTTTACTCGAAGAAATTTCATTTTTCACTTTGATTTTATAAACTGATTCTTTTTTGATCTTTTTTCTTCCAAATGATGCTTTAAACCGTTCTTGATGTATTTTTTGTTCTTTTTCACGAAATAAAATTCTTTGAAATTTTATATATTGTTAAGATTATCATTTTTTATAAATTGTTTTTTGTTTTTATGTAATTATTGTTATTGGCAAGTATAGTTCGGTATAGTTTGAATAGTTTACAACAATGTCTAATATTTTTCGAAATGTGTTTTTTAAACAAAGTTCATAAAAATAGAACACCATTGATACCACCATATCTACTCAACTTAACTTTCATATCGTAAATGAACAACGGTGCCTCATCAATCAACAAGTGTTTAGCATCACTAATGTGGCACTCATTATTTTAATTACATAATTGAAATTTTGAAGAGTGAACTTAATTTTTTTTTCAAAGTTCGTTTTTTGATGTTTTTATCGAAAGTAAATAATATGAAAAAATTTCAATATAAACAAATACAAAAAACTGTTCTGAACAATCTTTGTTTAATGACTAAACTATAACGATAGACGTGCAAAGCCGATATGAACCGTATTTTTTATAACTTGTGTTTTTTGTAAAATTTTAAGAATAAACAAGCACTTATCAGTGACAATAACAACAAATTTTTAAGCATAAACCCCGAAAATTTACAGTAGCTGAAGTATAATTTTTGTATCATTATTCGAGTTGTCATAAAACAAAACTTGCCAAAACACAAAAAATTAAAACAACCCAATAACAAAGTTAAAAACATTTTTTATGATTATAAAATAAACATTTTGATTGTCCAAATAATCTTGCTTATACACAATCATGACTTTAAAACCAATGGTTAAATACAAATTAAAATCACAAATAAAATTATTTGATAAAATATAAGAATAAACACTGAGTTACCCATTAAGTTGACCAACTTTTATTGTTTTTGATAACATCAATTAAATTATAAACATGACATTAACTCAACAAATGAGAACACTGGGTGCATTTTATAAATGTTTTCTTGTTTTTTAACATTGAAAATACACGAGAAGATATCGAAAAAATTGTTCAATCTGACCAAAAATATCAACAATATAGTAAATGAATATAGTTTTTCTAATTATTAAATAACTATATTATACATAATTATACATAAATTATAAAACAAGCAATGTTTTGTTTTTGGAAAAATAATAATAATTATTAAACAAGTATAGTTTATAATTGATATATTTTTGTAAAATTTTACATTCAAAGAATAGTTTAATTGTTATTTATCAAAGTTATTTATTATTAACATTCAACATAACCCCATAATTCTAAATCGCAATATAGGTTTAATTCAAAATATAAAGAAATACATAAAACGTAATTGAAATGTTCATAAGGTGGGTTTGGTTTAACTTGGATTGTTTTCATAATGTAATAATTATAATTAATAATTTGTAAATTAATAAGATTGTTAAAATTGTAATAAATTGTGGTTATCTAAATTCTATGTAAATAATACTGTTAATAATAACATACTAAAATCAATAATTTACATGTTAATTCATAATAAAAATATACTAGTCTAGTTCTAATATATTATAAAGTAATTTTATATACTATTAAATTTAATACAACATTTTTAATTAACATTATTATTTCAAATTGTTTGATAATAATGTATTAATATTTAATTATTTAATATAGTACATTAATCGCTTTTTCATTAATTAAACCACCTATATTTGGAATAAATAATTGATTTATAATTTGATAGTTTATTGATGGTTTATAAATGGTTTATTCAATGTTTGATTCTCTAAACAGTTTGAATCTTTTTATACATTTCAATAAAAGTTCAATGTTTTTGATTTGAAAACAGCTTCGAATTATTTCTTATATCGAGAAAAGTGCAAAGAATTTTTTATCAACTTTTCTTTAAAAAAATGTAATTTATGTACACAAATCTATTTTAGGAAGTGTACGAGTATTTTCTGGTGTACGACAATTTTCTGGTCGACTTTAATATACAAAAAATAAAACGTGCAAACTTTTTATATATTATAAATGTTACATCAAACTTAGACTGAAAACTATCATATTAAAACAAAAAACTGTTTAATTTAGAATAACTTTTAGTTTACGGATTTAAGTTTATATAGTAAAAATTCTATCGGTGTGTAGTTTTGACCAATCAAAAGTGGTTTACACACCAATGAATATAATGATTTCCCACATATTTGGCACCAAAACCTGCAAAAATAATGTCAATTACAATTTTGTTTTTATTTTAAAAGAGTAAAGACTTGGTAATAAAAACTTAAAAAGAGAAAAATTATCAAACAAAAATAAATTTAAAAAAGATAAGAAAAAAAAAGCAGAAAATGCTCCTCTCAAAATATTTAACTTTAAATGATAATAAAAAATGCACCGACTTCTACACACCGATCACAAGAGCACGCTTGTGATTGGTGTGATGACAGAATTGATACCACAAAACTTAACAATTTCAGCAAGGAAGTCACAAATATTTTCGACACATGCAGACAATAAGCCTGGCGTGCTCATCGAAGTCTGTGAGGGCGAGGCATCAATGACATCACATTGCAACCTGCTTGGAAAGTTTGGGTTGTTTGGTATCTTATTAGCACCACGTGGTGTCCCACAAGTTGAAATCGCATTTGACTCAAATGCAAATGGGATATTAAATGTGTCAGCTGAAAACGAGACAACAGGAAAAAACTCTTAAAGGAACAGGTGGACAAGATGGTTACAGGCTCAAAAGAGTTCAAGGAGGAGGACGACAAGACGATAATTTTTAAAAGCTAAAAAAACACTCACCTTCTGCTACCGTGTAATAACACAGTGAACGAGCAATTTTTTTAAGGTTACCAACAGAAGACAATGCAGCAATCGAGGCTGATGTCAAAGACGTACTTGAGTTGTAAATTGACAAGAACCAATCAGCACCAAAAGTCCATGTGTTTATATAAAAACACAATGCGTTGTTCTTATTCTAAACAATTAGACAATTTAAAAAAATTCACAATATTATTTTATGTTTACACGTGTCTTGTTTTTTTTTCTCAAAAAAAACAAAAAATATATTTTGTCATTTTTCTTGATTGTGGATTGTTTTACAAATTTCATTATTTTTTAGTTTTTTTGCCAGAAATTAAAAAAGAAAAGAAAAAAAATTTACACACCTTGGGAAAACCATTTTAATGACTCCACACACCGATAGAATTTT